TCTTTCTAGTGTCTAGACCCCACTGTGAGTCATCTCATCTCTTCGCGTAAATCCAGGTATGATCCAAGGAGCTTATGAGTATAGCAAAGATACTTGGAAATTTTAAGGATTCAGAGTCTCTCTTCCGGGAACCAGGGACAAACATCATCTTTACTACAGACGTCTTTGGGGAAACAGTGAAAGTTAGTAATAATTTCGCTAAATTTTAGCCTCTGACATCTTAATTTTCTGTATGACAAACTGGGTAATATGCATAAAGCATTGCTGTTTCATACCAAACTACAAAGGTTATCTTATTGAAAAGCAGAAAAGTGCTTCAACAGTTGCTGGACTCTAGGTTGAACCAGCCACTTTTCATGGAATACCATTTTTACTTGAAAAAATGACAAACTATGACTACTGGAGATATTTTCTCAAAAATCAATCAAAAGAGTCTATCACTTCAAGAAAACAGAGTATTTGTTGCTGATGAGAAAATCTGAGCTTTCATGTGAAAAATCAGAATTTCTGAAAACTTCGGGCACATGTTCGCAGGACCTCCTGAGGGCTGTCACTGGCCAAAAAAAAAAAAAAGGCGAATTTTTGAAAACTTGTATCCACTACCATTAACTTGACAGCTTCCTAAAGTGTCAGCATTTAGGAGGATCTGAGTGAACCAATATTTTCCAAATAACCAATGCACGTTATTAAGTAATACAAAGGTTAAAAATCCATTCAAAATCAATAGATTTTAAACTAATAGACCAGTCTGTACCAAATATAGTCCTCTGTCTCTACCAAAGAAAAAAAAAAACTAGCAGGGTGTTACAGCATGCGCTTGTAGTCTCAGCTACTCAGGAGGCTGATGTGGGAGGATAACTTGAGCCCAGAAGTTTGAGGCTGTAGTGAGCTATGATCATGCCACTGCACTCTAGTCCAGGAAACACAGTGGGATCCCGACACTATGAAAAAATTTTTTTTAGATAGTCTCACTCTGTTGCCCAGGCTAGAGTGCAAGGGCGTGATCTCAACTCACTGCAACCTCTGCCTCCCAGGTTCAAGTGATTCTTATGCCTCAGCCCCCCAGTAGCTAGGACTATAGGCATGCACAACCACGCCCAGCTAATGTTTGGCATTTTTAGTAGAGACGGGATTTTGTCATGTTGGCCAGGCTGGTCTCAAACTCCCAGCCTCAAGTGATCCGCCTGCGTTGGCCTCGAAAAGTGCTGGGATTTCAAGGCATGAGCCACTGCGCCTCGTGATGAAAACTGAATTATATGGTTACAAATCCCACATTCTAACAACCTCGAAAACTACCAATTGTCAAGTTTTGGTGCTGCATCAAAAGAAAACTATCCACATCTAAAAAGACGTTGAAAATAGTCCTCCCTTCTCCAACCACCTATCTATATGAGGCCAGATTTTCTTCTTATACTTCAAGCAAAACAAAATACTGCAACAGACTCAATACAGAAATACATGCGAGAAGCTAGGTATACCTGTCTTCTATTAAGCTAGATTTTAAAGAGATTTGCAAAAATGTAAGACAATGTTACTTTTCACTAAATTTCTTTGAAAATAGTTATTTTTCATTATAAATGTTATTTCTGTTATATAATGGGTAATTATTGTGAAATGAATAGTTTTAATTTTTCTTAAGATTTTACCTTATTTTTTGAGACAAAAAAATTTCTGTTGCCCAGGCTGGAGTGCAGTGGCATGATCTCAGCTCACTGCAACCTCAGCATCCTGGGATCAAGCAATTCTCATGTCTCAGCCTCCCAAGTAACTGTGACTACAGGAGCATGCCATCACGCCCAGCTAATTTTTTTTTTTTTTTTTTGTATTTTTGGAAGAGACAGGGTTTCACCATGTTGGCCAGGCTGGTCTTGAATTCCTGACCTCAGGTGATCCGACCGCCTTAGCCTCTGAAAGTGCTGGGATTACAGGTGAGAGCCACCACACCCGGGGTAATTATTATTTTTTGAGACTGCGTCTCACTCTGTTACCCAGGTTGGAGTGCAGTGTTGTGATCATAGCTCACTGTAGGCTCAAACTCCTGGGCTCAAGTGATCCTCCAGCCTCAGCCTACAAAAGTGCTGCAATTACAGATGTGAGCTACTACGTCCATCCATTATTATTATTTTTTAAAGACATTAGGTCTTGCTATGTTGCCCAGACTGGACTCAAACTCCTGGACTCAGGTGACCCTCCTATCTCGCCTCTCGCCTTTTTTTTTTTTTTTTTTTTTTGAGACAAATCTTGCTTTGTTGCCCAGGCTGGAGTACAGTGCAGTGATCTGGGCTTACTGCAACCTCTGCCTCCCAGGTTCAACTGGTTTTCCTGCCTCAGCCTCCTGAGTAGCTGGGACTACAGGCACATGCCACCACGCCTGGCCACTTTTCTATTTTTTTAGTAGAGATGGGGTTTCACCATGTTGGCCAGGCTGGTTTCAAACTCCTGACTTCAAGTGATCTGCCTGCCTTGGCCTCCCAAAGTGCTGGGATTACAGGTGTGAGCCACCATGCCCAGCCCCACCTCAGCCTCTTGAATAGCTGGGACTACAGGTGCATGCTACTATACCTGGCTAAACCTTTACTTTTTAATATATCTAACAGTAGAAATAAAAGAAACTTTTGGGGTCTTCATTTTAAGAGTAAATCTGAGACCAAAAAAATTGAGAATAAGTACCCTATGGAAAAAATAAAAAAATGTAAATATACGTATTTATTATAGCTTCAAAACAAAGAAAAAGCATGTAAATGGTGAAAAAAATACGTAGCGGAATGAGTACTCCAGACAAATATTTTGTGGTTACTAAAACTTACATATACATATTTTTAGAGACAGAGTTCCACTCTGTCTCTCGCCTAGGCTGGAGCACAGCAGTAGGATCAAAGCGCAATGTGACCCCAAACTCCAGGTCTCAAGTGACCCATCTCAGCCTCCTTAAGCGCTGAGGTTTACAGGTGCACATCATGGTGCCTGGCTAATTTTTTTTTTACTTTTTATAGAGATGAGGTCTTCGCTATGTTACCGAGGCTGGGTTCAAACTCCTGGCCTCAAGTAATCCTTCTTTCTTGGCCTCAAAAAGTGATGACATTACAGGGGTGTGCCACTGCACCCAGCCTATATTTTTATAACGACATAAAGTATTAGCATTTAGAATAAGCAGGATATAAAACAATATAAAAAATGCTCTAAATTATATTTTTAAAAATCAAAGATTGAAAGCAAACCAAAATCTTCACAATGGTCACATTATTTCTAGTTACTAGGGTAAGGAGACATATTTTCTAATTTCTATAATTTTTTTCTAAATTTTCTATAATAATCACATAGTATTTCATAACCAGAAGATAAGATTATTTTAAAAATAAGGAAAAAAGTTGGCCAGATACAGTGGCTCACGCCTGTAATCCCAGCACTTTGGGAGGCTGAGGCGGGTGAATCACTTGAGGTCAGGAATTTGAGACCAGCCTGGCCAACATAGTGAAACCCCATCTCTACTAAAAATACAAAAAATTAGCTGGGTGTGGTGGCACACGCCTGCAATCCCAGCTACTCAGAAGGCTGAGGCCCGAGGATCACTTGAACCCAGGAGGCGGAGATTGCAGTAAGCCGAGATTGTGCCACTGCATTCCAGCCTGGGTGACAGAGAGACTCTGTCTCCAAAAAAAAAAAAAAAAAGGGGGGGAGGAAAGCACTATTTTCCATGAAAGTAACAACACGATTCGGTTCTCAGGTTCTCGTTACCTTTCAGTACTTTCCTAAAATTCAACAGGCTATAAACACCAAAATGGTCAAAAAAAAACAATACCAACTCTCCTCCAAACCCCTCACGAGTCATACAAAAGCAACAAAACGGCATTGCTATTTAAAAAAAAACTTGCTATATTTTAATTATATCAGAATAGGACTATCCATGTAAGTTCTAAAAATACAGTTCCCTGATTTAAAGGCAAGAAAGTTTTCCAACTTTCAGAATTAAGCAAATAATAAAGCGCCAACTTAAAAACTAAAATCAGGCCAGGTGCAGTGGCTCACACCTGTAATCCCAGCACTTGGGGAGGCTGAGGTGGACAGATCACCCGAGGTTAGGAGTTTGAGACCAGCCTGGCCAACACGGAGAAATCCTGTCTCTACTAAAAAGACAAAATTAGCCAGGTGTGGAGACGGGCGCGCCTGTAATCCCAGCTACTTGAGGGGTTGAGGCAGAACAATCAGTTGAACCCAGCAGGCAGAGGCTGCAGTGAGCCGAGATGGCGCCACTGCACTCCAGCCTGGGCAAAGAGAGCGAAACTCTGTCTCGAATAAATAAACAAATAAATACAAACTAAAATCAGTGATAAAAACAGCCTAAAAATAAAAACTTAAGCAAAAATTGAAATTTTAAATAATTACAAATAAAATCCAATCATTATATATTACTTTGTTCTTTCATTTCACTGTATCTTTATCCTTTGATTTTTATACAAAGAAAGAAGGCTAAAGAAAGTAAAGTATTTCAATTGAAATACTTTAGATGTAAATCATACTGGATAAAATAGATTAAAATTTCAAAGTTTCAGAGACCAAGTAAACCATACAGTTTTATTAAGTAAAATATTCTATCTTAATATGAAAGTCAAAGGCTGGGAGCGGTGGCTCACGCCTGTAATTCCGGCACTTTGGGAGGCCAAGGCAGGTGGATCACTTGAAGTTAGGAGTTCAAGACCAGCTTGGCCAACATGGTGAAACCCTGTCTCTACCAAAAACATAAAAACTTAATCCCAGCTACTCAGGAGGCTCAGGCAGGAAAAAAAAAAAAATTGCTTGAACCTGGGAGGCGGAGGTTGCAGTGAGCTGAGATCGCGCCACTGTACTCCAGCCAGCCTGGGCAACAAGAGCGAAATTTGGTCTCCGAAAACAAACAAACAAACAAAAACAAAGTCAGAGAATGTGAATAAAATAGATATGAGCACTAAAAAGAACAGCCAAATGTTTATTTACTTGAGGTAGAAATATCACTTACTGCTTACCAGGACTATGATGAGTTGCAAATTCTCCATTCTGAAATAAGTCTCCTGTCACATTCATTCTACCAGGGTTAAAAGGTCTTACTCCAGTCTTGGTCTGTGGAGTTAAAGATGGGGTGTACGTTTGTATATTAACACCAAAATTACTTGACTGAAGTCCTTTAGCGACATCTCCCAAGTTGGTATTCTATAGTGATGTTTTATATGTAATCATTATGTTCATATCTTGCCCAGCATTCACAGAGCTTATACCTGTTTCTAAGGTTGTAACATTAGTAATAACGTATTTCAGAGTCAATTCTGTAGTGATACCACTATTACCCATTCCTGCATTTACCTTACTTCTTGAAAGACTGGAAGTGGAGAAGTCCAAATCTTTGGTTTTGTTTTTAGTTCCAGGAAGTCCCCATTCAATAAAACAGGAAGAATTTTTCTCCGCTCCTCCATTTGTTTCTATATCCTCTTCATCATCAATAACAATTGTCTCACTTATATTTCCTTTCTGAGACGCCAAATCTCTTGAAGGAGGAGGAATTACAGAATAATTTCCTTGTGGCTTTTCATTTTTTGATGACGCAAGTATGAAGTTTCTTTGATCAGCTATTGCTGGAGCAGAAATTGAAGGAGGTTGTATAGATTCAATAAATACAACATCATCATCATCTTCCACTGGTGAGTTTCTAGATCTACTAACTAAAGGACAAGCTGGATGACCAAATGAATCCCCTATGTCCATGAGACTAGTTGCCATGGCCATATTCCCTAATAAAGCAGGAGTCTGTTCAGTCAATTCTAATCCTCCCACTGAACATTTATCCATGCCAATGAACCTGTAAAGAGACAGAAAAGAAAAAGTTCTAGTATGTTATGATTTTTGCATTTTACTACAATAAAATAGCACAAGTAAATTTTTCAAATTATTTTTTGTGATACCTGATATCCACTCTGGTTTTCCTCTACTGTTAACTAATGTTTACTTCAGAGTTCAATGGACATTAATTATATAATTTCGGTAGTCCTTTAAAAAATTCTAATCAATTTATAGTACTCACTTTAGTCACTCTTTACAGTGAAAAAATGTGTTTCCTTTGAATCAGAAAATAGTAACAAAATAATTAAATTAAATACCAATAACTTAAGATCCTAATATAATCACTTATATTCCATATGCTTTTATCTACTACAGCGTTTATGATATGGCCCTATTTCCCAAGTGTCTCCTGCCATTGTTCTCTTTCCAAAATCTCTTCTTCCAAAATAAGTATGTGATTATCTTTATGCATCTTTTTTGTCCTTGTACAGAAAGCATTAAGTCCATTTATGCCAGATATTATGCAACGGGCTTTTTACAGAACGTAAAATTATCAAAACTCCATGATAGTAGGTATAATTTACTCTTACAGTTCAAGAAATTGAGGTCTAGGGAAGCTAACTAAATTGTTCCAGATAACACTGGGACTTAAACTCAGGGCTCTAATGCTAGGCCCCAAATTTTTTTTCTTTTGAGAGAGGGTCTCACTCTGTTGCCCAGGCTGGAGTGCAGTTGCGTGATCCTGGCTCACTGCAGCCTTAAACGCCGGGGTTCAAGCAATCCTCCCACCTTAGCCTCCCAAGTAGGTAGGACTACAGGCTCTTGCCATCACAGCCCAGCTAATGCTCCATAAATTTCTCGGAGAGAGGAGGTCTCACTACATTACCTGGGCTCATCTCAAACTCCTGGCCTCAAGTAATCCTCCTGCTTTGGCTCCCCAAAGTGCTGGGATTACAGGCATGAGCCATGGTACTTGGCCTAGCCCCAAATTCTTAACTTGTTAACACTCAACATTTGTATACTTATTATGCACTAAGCTATGATGAAGGAAAGAATGTAGCAGAGACAATAGTTGAAAAATCTGGAAGTGAAAAACTGATGAAACATGGGTGGCTCTTAAGAAGGTGAGAGATAAGGACATGTGCACAGGTGGTAATGAAATTGATCATGTATAAGAATCACCTCTATCTCAACTGAAAGAAGGCAAAAGTAAGTATAACTGGAATGCATGTAAGCATGCAGAAACAATACATGGGATTATACATGCTAGCCTCAATTTTCAATTTTTTTTTTCTTTTGCTGTGAGGTCTATGTTACCCAGGCTGGTCTCAAACCCCCGAGCTGAAGTGATTCTCCCGCCTAGGCCTTTCAAAGTGCTGGGATTACAGGAATGAGCCACCACAACAGGCCTGGCCTCAGTCTTTTTTTTCTTTTTGTTTTGTGAGACAGAGTCTCACTCTGTCACCCAGGTGCAGTGGCACCATTTCAGTTCACTGCAACCCCCACTTCCCAGGGTCAAGTGATCTCCCCGCCTTAGCTTCCTGAGTAACATGCCTGGCTAATTTTTTGTATTTTTGCTAGAGACAGAGTTTCACCATGTTGCCCAGGCTGGTCTCAAACTTCTGAGTTCAGATGATCCGCCTGCCTCAGCCTCCCAAAGTGCTGGGATTATAGGTGTGAGCTCCTAGGCCTGGCCTCTGGCCTCAATTTTCTGAGTAGAAACTTGAGAGTGAAATGGGGTGGGAATTTTACAGGTGTTGAATGATTAAGAAAACACACTTCAAAAGGCAGTCATCACTCCATTTTATTTTAAACATCTCATACTGAAATATGCTTTTTTTTTTTTGAGACAGGAGTCTCGCTCTGTCGCCAGGCTGGAGTGCAGTGGTGACACCTCTCAGCTCACTGCAACCCCTGCCTCAGCCTCCCAAGTAGCTGGGACTACAGGCGTGCGCCGCCACGCCCAGCTAATTTTTGTATTTTCAGTAGATACAGGGTTTCACCATGTTGGCAAGGATGGTCTTGGTTTCTTGACCTCATGATCCGCCCACCTTGGCCTCCCAAAGTGCTGAGATAAGAGGCGTAAGCCACTGTGCCCAGCCAAAATATGGTAACATTTTTATTCTAAAAATTTCCCAGCCGGCCATCGTAGCTCACACCTGTAATCCCAGTACTTTGGGAGGCTGAGGTGGGCGGATTACTTGAGTTCAGCAGTTTGAGAACAGCCTGGCCAACGTGGTGAAACCCCATCTCTACTAAAAACACAAAAATTAGTCGTGGTGGCAGGTGCTTGTAATCCCAGCTACTCAGGAGTCTCAGGCAAGAGAACTGCTTGAATCCAGGAGGCAGAGGAGGTTACAGAGAGCTAAGACTGTGCCACTGCACTCTAGCTTGGGCAACAGAGCAAGACTCCATCTCAACAACAACAACAACAAAAAAATCCCAATTTAATCTATAATCCATATAGTCATGAAATAGGTAACATTTATTTTTAGTATGTATTACGCTATTATATATATTAACTCAGATAACACTTACTTAAGTGAGCAAGGAACTATTATTTTTCCCATTTTGCCAATTAGGAAACTAAGAGCCAGGAGATAAGTAACCTGCCTAACTTACCATTACTTAAAAAGCTAGTCACCTTTGGGAGGCTGAGATGGGCGGATCACGAGGTCAGGAGATCGAGACCATTCTGGCTAACACGGTGAAACCCCGTCTCTACTAAAAAACACACACACACACAAAACAAAAGCTAGTCAGGATTCAAATCCAAGAAATCTGACTCTAAAACCTATTTCTTAGCCACTATATTATATTCAATGAATGTGGAAAACAATTGTTAAAAATTACTTATCTTTTGTTAAGATGAGCCAATTGATTACAACAACAAAATTAACATTTAAATAAGGCTGTTTCAAAGATAAAGAAATAACAAATTTAAGGAACCAGTTTAAAATAAGGTTTGTAAAAGAAACGGAAAAAAATTGGGGGCCAGGAATGTTGGCTCATGCCTGCTAATCCCAGCACTTTTGGGGGCCAACTGGGAGAACTGCTTGAGCCCAGAAGTTTGAGACCAGCCTGGGCAACAAGGTGAGACTCCACCTATACTAAAAATTTTTTAAAATAATGAAAAAAAGGAAAATAATTTCTGGAAAAGAGTAATAACTGACTCCACAGTATCTTCTTCTTTTTCTTTTTTAAGATGGAGTCTCACTCTGTGGCGCAGGCTGGAGTGCAGTGGCGTGATCTCGGCTCACTGCAAGCTCCGCCTCTCAGGTTCACACCATTCTCCTGCCTCTGCCTCCCGAGTAGCTGGGACTACAGGCGCCCGTCAGCACGCCTGGCTAATTTTTTGTATTTTTAGTAGATTCGGGGTTTCACCGTGTTAGCCAGGATGGTCTCAGTCTCCTGACTTCATGATCCGCCCGCCTGGGCCTCCCAGAGTGCTGGGATTACAGGCTTGAGCCACTGCGCCCAGCCCACAGTATCTTCTTGTGGCTGGTAGGTTCTATTTTACTTTTCTCACAGAAAATAATACAGAGTACTCTTTATACTCAGTTCACTGCAGTCATCTACCTTTAAAAAAAGATAAAATATTCACCTATGCTTAAATCCCAAATTATAAATAAGTTAAAACACTACTAAAGGCTGGGTGCGGTGGCTCGCGCCTATAATCCCAGCACTTTGGGAGGCCAAGGTGGGTGGATCATGAGGTCAGCAAATCGAGACCATCCTGGCTAACATGATGAAACCCCATCTCTACTAAAACAAAAAATACAAAAAAAAATTAGCCGGGCATGGTGGTGGCCGCTTGTAGTCCCAGCTACTCGGGAGGCTGAGGCAGGGGAGAATGGCATGAACCCGGGAAGTGGAGCTTGCAATGAGTGGAGATGGCGCCATTGCACACTCCAGCCTGGGAGACAGAGCGAGACTCAGTCTCAAAAACAAAAAAACCAAAAAACAAACAAACAACAACAAAAAACCACTACTAAAAGCCATTGTTTATAACTTAACCGTCAAAAACTTTAATTCTATAAACACAAGACCATAAGAAAATTTTGAATATTTCTACAATATTGTCTAAAAACAGAGAAAAAGATGCTGTTTAGCCAATTAGCTATGTGGCAGCAGGCAAATTATGTCACCTCACGGAGTTTTAGTTTTCTAAACTGTGAATGGGGTTAACATATAGCTTTAAGCTTTTTAATGAGGTGAGGTGACATGCAAATCTCCAGCATATGGCCTGGTCCATATCAGAGAGTGCAAAAAATATCAAATTATGACCAGGCCCGGTGGTTTATGCCTCTAATCCCAGCACTTTGGGAGGCCGAGGCAGGTGGATCACCTGAGGTCGGGAGTTCGAGACCAGCCTGACCAACATGGAGAAACCCCACCTCTACTAAAAATACAAAATTAGCCGGGCGTGCTGATGCATGCCCGTAATCCCAGCTACTCAGGAGGCTGAGGCAGGAGAATCGCTTGAACCCAGGAGGCAGAGGTTGCGGTGACCTGAGATCATGCCATTAAACTCCAGCCTGGACAACAAGGGTGAAACTCCGTCTCAGAAGAAAAAAAAAAAATTAGCCAGGTGTGGTGGCATGTGCCTGGAGTCCCAGCCACTCAGGAGACTGAGGCAGGAGAATCGCTTGAACCCGGGAGGTAGAAGTTGCAGTGAGTTGAGATCATGCCACTGTACTCCAACCTGGGTAACAGAATGAGACTCTGCCTCAAAAACAAACAAAAAATTCTTTTCAATAAAAAGGTATTTAGGCAAATACTATGTTACATCGCTACATCCTGGGATTTCGGCAACTGTCTAATTTTAAACATTTAACTAGTCTTCTTGTGGTATCTTATTCACACACAAATTATAACACTAACAAAATCCTTAAACGTAAATTATCTCTGGAGAATGGGTAACAACGTAAATTTAACGGGATATTTAGGCGTAAAGATAAGGGTTAACATAAAACAAAGAAATGAATACATGTACTTTGACCTATTTGACCCATTTAGCTCTCTTCTTGTAAACTACTTTCAGAGACACTTCACAGTTGAGTATATAAGCACTCCTATTTAAACTGAGATATAAAGGTGTACCATGATTCTGAAGGTACTCACAAAAGAAAGAAAAAAGAAGAGTCAACTGAACTACTACCACAGATAGCAAGAGAATTACTGCAGGAACCAGAACAAAATTACTATCCAAATTGGGCCTGGTGCCTCACACCTATAATCCTAACACTTTGGGAGACCAAGGCAGGAGGATCACTTGAGGCTAGGAGCTGAAGACCAACTTGGGCAACAAACTGAGAACTCATCTCTACAAAAAAATAAAGGCCAGGTACAGTGGCTCATGCCAATAATCTCAGCACTTTGGGAGGCTGAATGAGATGGGAGGATAGCCTGAGCCCAGGAGTTCAAGACCAGCCTGGGCAATGTAGAGACCCCTCTCTACAAAAATTTAAAAATTAGCCCAACATGGTGGCATGTGCCTGTAGTCCCCACTACTTGGGAGGCTGAGGTGGAAGGATGGCTTGAGCCCAGGAGATCAAAGTTGCAGTGAGCCATGATCACACTACTGCACTCTAGCCTGGGCGACAGAGCAAGACCCTGTCTCAAAAATAAAAAATAAATATAATAAAATAATTAGCTGGGCAAGGTGGTACACGCCTGTAGTCCCCAGCTACTTGGGAGACTGAGGCAGGAGAATCACTTGAGCCCAGGAGTTCAGGGCAGCAGTGAGCTATGACCACCCCACAGCACTAAAGTCTGGGTGACAGAGTTAGACCCATCTCTAAAAATTAAAAAAAAAAAAAAAAAAAAAAAAAAGACAAAAAACAAACAAAAAAAACAACTGTCTAGAAATCAGTAGCCCAGCAGAGATTAAGACAGTAAACTGGGCCAGGCGCAGTATAATGCCCCGTAATCAGCGCTTTGGGAGGTCTAGGCGGGTGGATTGCTTGAGTCCAGGAGTTCAAGACCAGCCTGGGCAACACGGCAAACCCTTGTCTCTACAAAAAATACAAAAATTAGCCCGATACAGTGGCACATGGTTGTGGTCCCAGCTACTTGGGAAACTGAGGCAGGCAGATTGTTTGAGTCTGGGAGATGGAGGTTGCAGTGAGATGGGCCACCGCACTCCAGTCTGGGCGACACTGAGACCCTGTCTCACACACACAAAAAAAAAGATGGCCATTGATCACGTATAACTGACTTTGTTCCCTTCCAAAACTCCCCTAAACAGTACTATCACAAGGAAAGGAAGACAAGAAACAAAAGCAGTATGATTTTATAAGTAAAAGAACAGAAGGATGAATGGTTAACTAACTGCCAACCTGAGACAGCCAGAGTCTAAAACAGTGAGAAAAAAAGCCAAGAAACATTCTGATTTACGCTGTAGGCTCAGAAGTCTGCAGCACCAGGTATCCCTGGAACAGAATGGGCAGATGCTAAAAAAAGAGGTTGAGAGATCTCTTCCCTCCCATCAAGCTGATGGTGACAGGCCTTTCCCTATCCCAGCTCAGATTCTAAAAATTTTTTTCTTTGACAAGAAGATCTAAGACTTGGGTTCACCAAGCACTGGGGAATGTTTCAATACCAAGAAATATCCCCTCTCCACTGCTTGAACCCAGGAGGCGGAGGTTGCAGAGGGCCGACATCACGCCACTGCATTCCAGCCTGGGTAACAAGAGCAAAACTCCGTCTCAAAAAACAAAGAAATGTCCCCTCTCCTACTTGATTCCCAGAGAGCGGGCATCCAGACTTATGTTTTCCAGGCAGCAAACTCTTCTCTGGAGGCTTTCTTTCTCAGCAAGACTCTTCCCTGTGAAACCAAGTATCAGCAAAAAAGGAAAGTTATAAAAATATTAACCTATGGGGTTCCC